TATGCATCTGCTGCCCATGTGGAGCCCTCCAATCTCTTTCAGCCACTGCTCCCCTTCCTGCCTTGGTTCACATGCATGTGGTTTTCAACTGGGGAGATCATCTTTTGAAAAAGCTTTATGTTTGGCTACAAAGAAACCCCAGGACTGTGTGTGATCCAGGAGAGGCACGGAGACCATGTTAATGAGGCTCACCATTTCCTTCAAAATGGGATGCCCACAGCGTGTCACCAACTGCTGGGGGATGAGATTGCTCCCTCCTGCAGAAGTCTCTCTACTTCTCCTTGCAGACTGAAGTAGAAAGGAAAGTGCAAAACTTTCCACAGAAATTACTGAGGCAGTTCTGGACCTCAGGAACCTGCCTGACCCTCTGTGAGATGCTGGGGACTTCAAGTCCAGCTGGGGGTCAGGCCTTGGGGAAAGCCCCAGTGAAAACTGACCCACTCCAGGGTGCCATTTCCAGGAAAGCTCATTTTTTTCTAAAGATATTTCACCCAATACTAAGCGCAGTCTAAATACTGAAGACATGTGGGAATATGTAAAAATCAATAAATCAGAAAAAAAAAAATATTTGCCTTCAGCTCATACAACATCCTTGCAATACACTTTGACCCAGCAAACAGGAGAATGGGATCGAAGAGCTGGCTCATATCACACAGATCAGACAGCCTCTCTGCCTGGAACCTGGAGACATCGGCCTGTAGCACACAGCGCTGCTGCTGACCTCTCACCGTTGGGAACATTCACCAGGACAGATGCAGGAAGACTCAGTTCAGAGCCATCTTCCACCAGCAACAGGTCCCTGTAACTGAGTTGGTCAGAATTACTCAGCACATCCATTCAGAGCACGCATCTCTTCCATTTACCCTGTGCACCTTGAATGGTCATATTGGAACATACCTATATAACAGGCTTTACCTAGTTCTGATTAAAGTCATCAGCAAGGATTTCAGCTGCTCTCCAACAGTACTGCCCTGTGCACTTGTATCAGCAAAGCTTCCTCCCTGAGCAAACTCCTTTCTTGGCACTTTACAGGATCATCTGCTTGCTGGCAACACCTGGATCACACCAGGTGCCACACCATACCAAGGGCATTCTTCTCATTGCCTGATGCCACGAGGGTGCAGGACCAGCTGGCAGCTACCATGCACCTCCCCGTCCCCCTGCTGCAGTAGAAGTTGTCCCAGTTTCCCAAGAGCACGGGGAACTTCTGCCCCATGGTACACTTCATGTTAATCATTATCCACCCGCCAACTTCAGCTTAGCTGCATGACCAAGGATATGCAAAGTTGCTCGAAGGCACGCCTACAGCAGGCAGAGGCCACATGTGAGAAATCACAACCTAAATCCAGGATTTTATGTCCCTGTTCAGGTACTTTTGAAAATTCTCACCTTCTAATCTGCAGCAGTGGCTGAAATCTAACCAAAATTTGGTTAAATCTTGACTTTTTTTTTTTTTTTTTTTAAAACTACCCATGAAGAGTCACTTCCAAAAGTGAGAATTTTCAAGCTGAATAAATCTGTCCTCCTTTCTTCTCCACTCCTTAATATTTTAAGAGTTATACAGGACGATTTAACAGTGTTTATATTCACAAGCTTGGGCCCTACGATTTCATCTGCTTGCAGTAAAGAACAGGAACCACTTGCATAAGTCCACGACCCTCAAACCAGTGTAATTGGTTTCACCTGTCCCAGCTTGAAGAGGTTAAAATATTTAATCACTTTTCACGAAGACAAGTTATTTGTTTGCTTTTTCAAACAGATTGTACAATCCCATCCAAACAGCTTTAGTCTTTTTAATTGGGACCAGCAGGATGTTGGGCAAGTTCTGTGTGCTAGCGAAGGACCTCTCCTTCAAACCTACTTCATAATTCAAACGTAACTCCAGCCAAGGCACAAGCTGAACGTTACCCCGGGCTAACCAGGAAGCCCCAGTTCAGATGGAGACTTTTTCTTTCCCAGACGCTTCGGGGTTTCCCTGCCAGGAGGAGACTGAACAGGCAAGCTCGAGCAGAGCTGCCCGGCAGCACAGCCCGCTGGCACCTCGCAGCCAAGGCAGGCCTGGCTCTAAATGCACGATCCGACCCAGCAGCAGCACAGCCAGACAAGCTCCGACGGCATGAAACTACAAGTCGACCCAAAATGCAGTAGCGTAAAGACCAGCTATGTCCACAGTAACTAGCTATCCAGCAAGACCAAAAAGTCAAAGCGGAGTCCTAACCCTGAACTCCTTAGGCCTTCTAGCAGGTAGGAATTGTTACAACTCGAGGCTTTGCAGTTGTTCAGCCTGGTTTCTTCTAGAAAAGCACAAACTTACAAGCCCATACTTTGTGCAAGATGAAAACATTTGCTTTTGAAACCACGGGCCAATTTCAGCCAAGTGCAACAAAGGTAATGAAGTTCCATGAGACTCAGAGGCCAAGGCAAGGGGACAACTAGAGTTTCCCTGGTCAGGGGAGATGCTGCAATATGCACTTGCCTTTTCTGCATACCAGAGAAACCACAGTGGAAAAAGCCTTTAGAAATGCTTCAGTAGGGCAGGGCCCAGGTTTCCTTTTTCGATGCCAGAAGTGAGCAGCCACCGGACAAATCCAGAGAAACCAACTCTCTAGATTCCTCTGTTTCCAGAGCTCCCTGGGTGTTTTCCGACTACATGCATTAGCTGCTTTAAAGGTCATGCTTAAGAGTTCTGCATATGCTCCCCAACTGTCTGGATGCCACGTGGCATATTGCAAACTCACCTTTGCAGTCGAAAAGTTCTTCATTCTTATTATTCCTTTAAATGTTTTAATATTCCTTCATTTTCCTTCTTCTCTGCTGTCTAGAACAACATACTTCTAATATAGGCAATTAAATAAGAGGGAGGTGGCATTTAGAATTAATCTAATCTAAATTTAATTCCAGGATGTTCCTGTGTTTTACTGAGAAAGAGGCCGTGCAACAGGTTGAAGCCTAATGTGCGTCAGATATGCTATGCTTCACAGCAGCAGAATGTTGGTTTTGGCAGTCCTTTGGCAGATGTTTGCTAGATAACTTGGTAGGACCCCGTCTATTGTTATATTGTGAATTCTGCAAGCAAACTTTCAAACGTGTTGCATTTCCTTGTCTAACGTACTCACTATTAACTATTGGAACACTACACCATGAAATGCAATAGACTTGCCACCATTTACAGCTTCAAAAGCAAAACAAGCAAAGCCAATCTAGGAGGCTGACTTTAGCCCAAACAGAAACAATGGGTTGGAGGTAGAAACAACCAGGTGAATATTTGCTGCTGGTGTCCTCCAACACAAAAAGAGCCAGAAGGGAAGAAATCCTAATTGCTTCAGACTTGTATATCAAGCCAGCACTGCAGAAGAGCCCTTTAGAGGACTGCATGTGCAATCCACCTTCCACAGTCTCACTGCTCACCTACTTCAATGTCCACAAATAGCTAGAAGCAAAACAGAACCAGCAAAGCTTCAAATTTTTGCAATTGGGTTTCAAAGTACAAAAGCCAGAAAACACACCTTTACTTTCAGAGGCCAAGCCCCCACCCAGTCTTTTTATTTTTTAATGTCTAAACTGAGCTAATTCAAGACAAAACCAATGGGATGCAAAGGAAAACCTACTTGACATTTCTCCAGCTGGCACTGCACTTAGAGCACCACTGCGACAGGACAAGAGGTTATGGTTTTAAACTAAAAGAGGGCAGATCCAAACTAGATATAAGGAAGACATTTTTTTACAATAAGGGTGGTGAAACACTGCCACAGGTTGCCTAGAGAGGTGGTAGATACCCCACTCCTTGGAAACATTCAGGATCAGGCTAGACAACGTTCTCAGCAACCTGATGTAGTTGAAGGTGTCCCTGCTCCTTGCAGGGTGGGGGTTGGACTATATGAACTTTAAAGGTCTCTTCCAACCTAAGCCATCCCAGGATTCTATGGTAAGCACGAAGATCTCTACCTTCTGTGTAGAAATGCACTGAGGCAAGACTTGCTCTGGTGCTCAGTCTTACACCAACAAGCTCAGTTTCTGCTACGAAAGTAATTCACAGCTAGAAGTGCAGTAACTCAAAGCAGAACAAAAAATGCTGTGCCAGTATCTGAAGAGGAGGCCTGGATGTAAACACACCAGGGCTGTGGGAACTGCAACAAGCTTCTGATGAGTACTCACCTTCCTGTAAGGACCTGTTAAGAAGCCACAAAGATTTTTATGGTGGTGGTTTCTTTTAGCCATGATGTACTTGTAATATTCTCACTGTGTCCATGAGAAACTCCCTAAGACTCTTGTAAATAGAGTTGTAACCCAATTCCAACTCTTGTAATTATACCATACCTACTTAAATTATCCCTTAAGGCTTTTATTTGTTTTTAATACACCACTCTTAGAAAGTATCTGTTTTTAGAAAAGAAAACTCTTTCAGAGTTTTGTTTAAGTAATGCTCCCTTCCTCTCCCTTCCCTTCCTACTCCCTCCAAGAAATCAGTACAGGAGTCTAACATCTCTTCAAAGAGATTAAAAACCAGTGTAACTTCACAAGACTCTACTCAATCTGGTGTCCAACTTTGGGTCTACGAAGAGATCCACAGAGACCAAAACAAACAAGGCCACAGTTAGTGCAAAGTTCATCCAAAAATTTCCCCATTTCCAGGATAAGCAATTACAAATCTGATGATCATAGTTTGTCTTTGTGGAAATGGCTCAGGCAACTTTAAAAAAAAAATAAATACTGCAGAGCACTAGCAGAACAGCTGCAACGTTGATCCTTTTATGCAGAAAGGCACTTCCTACAGTTAGGAATTCACTTACACAGGCAGGGATAAATTACAGGCGTATTACTGCCTGTATTCACCCTATTGAAATGCAAGCATTTATCTTAGATGCGTACATGAGGAGAAAAATAAGTGAGCAGAATCGGAGGTAACACCCATCTCCTTACTTGGGAGGAGACAGCTCTTATCTCAGTATCTGGAGTAGAGCTCAAAGACCACATGCTTAGGTCTGTGGTTAGTGACTCACCTGCAATTAAGGTGAAACCTGAGATTCCTATGTAAAGATAAGTCTCTGGACTTCGTGGTTGTAGAGCAGCATCTGCCTGACATCTGCTAACGGCTCAGAACAGTTGTGCTGAGAGGTGAAGAGTCCCAGGCATGGCAGTGGGGTGCAACTTGCAACTCCCCAGCTATGCTGGGGGATGATCCCAGCACCTCGTTGTAGAGACACTGCACACAGGCACCTCCTGGAAGGTGGCAGAAACCAGGGTTCAGTTGCCCTCTGCTGAGGAGAAACCAATTAAAAATAAACTTAAAATACAATAAAATTCAGTCCCTCAAAATTTTGTTCCCCTCCAAGAAATGTCATGTGAATTTTGTGGCTTATGCTTCAAGCCTTCCAAGGAGGGAGACTCTCAAAACCATACTATCCTTTTACCCTGAGAGATGCCCTAACCTACTGGCATGCAGATGCGGTCCATGCAGAAGCACTGCAAAATGCAACCTGATGCTGACAACCAAGTCATCTCATTTCCAAAGCAATCTCTTTCCTTTTCTCAACATACTTTACTTGATGAAATTTTGTCCTCAAAATTTGTATGAAGCAAGATTCAGAAAACTACCTCCCACTCATTTTGTTCCAACATCCCCCCTTCCCTCTGCTGCTGCTTGTGCTGTTTTCATAGCATGTTTAGCTTTATGATGAACAAGAAGTCTACAAAGTAACCTCTTTCAGAATAAAGACTCCCTCCAAATTCAAGACAGTCAAAGAATTTGGATAAATAATCAAAACCCAACATCTCAAATTCTGAGGTTTGCCTATTATCAGCCTCAATATTACACGTAAACAGGATTACAGAGCCAACTGATTTGAAGTGAGAGACAGGCTATCAATCTGATTAAAAAAAAATAAATAAAATGCACCTGATCCAGCATTTTGCTATTGGTACATATGTGTCATTCCAATAAGATGCATTAATCACTGAAGAATACTTGCTGAAAATCAACTGTCTTCTATTCACTCTCTAAGCTGCAGATCTCAGGAGGTGAGCTGCAACTGCATGTGCCATGTTTCCAAATTAATAGCAACTCTGAGCTGGTCCTAAATGCAAAACAAAAACAGATCCTGGTCGTCTATGCATGAAAGATAAGCAGCATTGAATGGGTCAGCATACCTGGGAGACTGGCAGCATACTGCTCTGAAATTACAGAAGCAGTAGCCTGGAAGATGATCAGCATCTTCTGTGGCATGTCCATATTTCCAGTGAGGTCTTCAAAGCCCCCATACTTGGAATATTGAAGTAGAGCTAATTTGCTTAAGCCCCAAAAGCCCACTAGCCTGTTTCTGAATCGGCAGGGACAGGAATGAAAACAGAAATGCAACAAGATACGCCCGTCCAGGGCCCCATTTATTAAGTGAATACAAAAATAAGATCATTTAGGTGCAGAGGCACAGTAATCCGCTCCATGGTGAAAAGATACCTTGGGTTAGCAGTAAACCGAGTTTACAACGCCTTGTAAACAGACCTCTTCACAAGCAAGAAGCATATTGAAACATGACACACGTTGGATGAAAAGTTCCCTGTTACACTAATACTCCACACTCCTCATCGGGCGATTTCAGAGCACTCCGCAAAAGGTCAGAGCATCCTTTGCTCTGTTTTTGGAGGAGCACACATGAAACAAATGAAACACAAGGAACTTGCACTGTAAACAGTTGAAAAAGTGCCACAGCATTTTCCAAGGATGACGGCTTACCCCTTGTTAGGTTTGTTTTGCAATGAAAAATAATGGCCAAAGCTATTGTGCATTATGGATGGAAGTCTTAAAAATTACTTTGTTTACAGCAACCTGTCGCACAGTTGAATAAAGTTTATCTTTTTTTTCTTAATACAGTACATGGCATTTCTCCTCAATTGCACTAGAAGTAAATTTGGAAGCACTTTCAGTTTGTGTTATAGGCAAAATAGGAAAGAAAAACAAGTCAGGCAGGCTTTCAATCTCCTTTCCATCTCTGCCCACTGTTTTATCCCCACCCTTTCACATCTCCGAGTCCACGTACATTCCATTGATCAGGTAATCCACTTGTGTGTAATCCTTCTTCTTGTAGCTCTCATAGGCCTGCATAAGGAAAAGAACTATAACAGTTATGAAAAAAAAAGTACCAACTAAAAGCACTGCAAGAAGCGAACTTTTATCCACCAAGTACTGAGCCAGGGGCTCAGCAGCAATGAGAAGATATTCATTGTCTGTGTCCTGAGTTTCTGCAAGGCCCGAAGCTGTTGTGTTGGGTGCATCTGCTGGAGTCATGGTTGTTGAAAAAATGCGAGATGTTGACTTTATCCCGTGCCCAGTCGTAGTTTCTGCTGTAGAGGCAGTAGTTAAAACCATGGCACCCCTCGTAGAGCCCAGAAGAGAAGTTGATTTACTCAAGGCTGTTGTGGCTGTATGTGCTTCTGGCTCTAGATACAGCAACGTAACGACAGGCAGTGGGTGTGCAGAGCGTGAACTCTCCACGGGGGTGAGTGCCGTGGCATGAGTGGAAGCACTGGAAGATACTCCTGCATCCTGCGGGGCGAGGGTGGCCGTTGTGCCCAGTGGCTTTGGGCCTGCTCCAACAATGGTGGGGCTACTAGAGCGGAGAGTGCTGGTGGTGGTTGGGTTAAACTGCTCTCCTTGAGACAACTGAGTATCTGCTTCAGGAATGATAGTGAAGGGAGCAGAAGTAGAAGTGGGGGACGATACTGAGACAGAGCTACTATTTCCTGATTTATCAGTGGGGGTCACAAGCTTGGTGACATGGCTGGAAGTGGAAGCAGAGATGTTACCAGAAGTGGGAGAAGAGGCAGTGGATGACACGGCTTCAGTAAGGAGACCAGAACTTCCAGAGACATTGGAGGCTTTGGCAATTGTTTCATGAGCTGTAGTGAGGACAGTTGCGTTTGTAACGTTTGTCGTCACAGCTGTGGCGGTGGTGGTGGTCACATTGCTTGCAATTGGTTTTGTTCTATTCATCGTTACATCTTCACTCCCAACCTCGAGCAAATGCCTCAAGTGAATCTTGTGAGTCGAAGCAGTTGAGGAAAACAGGTTTTCCACGTTGTGTCGGTCAACCCATGCATTCACCATCCCCTCCTTTTTCTGTGGATAGCTTTGGTGGTGAAACGTGACTGTTTCCCTTTTCCCACTGACAATTTCTTCAAAAAGACAAAACCAATGAGTTTCATATGAATAAAACTCTCAAGCTCAAATCTGATCTCATATCCCCAACATGCAAACCAGAACATACATTCTGCAGTACATGTAGTACGATTGGAATAAATCAGTCCTGAAGTCAGCAAGAATATGAAAACTCAATGAAAACTCAGACCCCTGCCTTTATTGCACATAATCCCTTTGGGTAATTTTTTGTTTGTTTGCTTGCTTCGTTTGTTTTTTTTTGTTTGTTTGTTTTGCTTTGGGTTTTTTTTTGCCACAAACCTCAGGCATTTGCCCAACCATGGCATTAATTCCACAAAAGGAGGGTAATGAAAGTAGAGTTACAACTCAGGAGGATGTTATCAACAGGAGCAGCATTACGGATGCCAGCTCCTGAGAAGACAACTCATGCTTTCAAAGTTACACACCATCAACAAAGCTTTCATGCTAAGATTCATAATTTTCACCTCTCAAAACTGAGTGGAAATTTCCACTTACACCTTCATACTTTGGGATAACTTCCTCCACAACTAGTGATCTAGATTTATAGTGACATAAATCCCACCTGCTTATCAAAGGTCTGGTCGCTATGTGGCAGAGAAAGCTTTGCCAACCCAAAAAAACCATGAACAAACTTTATTTTTTTTTAAACTTGGGTACAGCAAACTCTAGAAACATATTTTAGAAGACCGGTTCCCCAATTACCAACAAGCTCCATTTTGTTATTGTGTCACTTAATTAAAATTGAAGATTCTGGCCCTGGAAAGTCACCATGAGCAATTGCTGCTAAGGCTGCTGTGATTATAGAAGCAGCCTGCTGCCTCTGGCCCAGAACTCTGGCGATCTCGGAAAAAACAATGCCAAGATCTATGCCTTTCTCTTAAAAAAATATATATATAAATACAACTGTTACACCTTTATTTTCTAAAGGACAACATGTGGAGTGCAAATGTCTTGAATGAATGATGTCTTCAACAAGGAGACAAACTGTTACTCCGTAACAGTTATGGAAGTTGTTGAAGACACATCATGCACAGGTGAGTGCCAGAGCCATTACCAGGCTAACGAAGGTTTTTCCAGTGCACCAGCTTTACCTACAGAATCCTCCTGGCATTCCACAGCCCACCTCCCTCAGCTGAAAGCCAGTCAAGGTGTTTAAAGTGAAAGGACCAGGATCCTGGATTTAGCAGGAGCCTGAAGCATGGCGTTACCTCCAAGCAGATCTTTGATGTCTTGTTCTCTGGCATTCTGGCACACACTCAGCTGGTGACACCACAAGAGGATGCAGCGATTTCGGTAGGGCACGGACCTGTTACAGGGATGGTTACCTGAAAACAGCAGAGAAAATAGGTCACTGCACACAGTATACTGAATACACTGCTTCATAGCTGTAATCAAAGAATTTTAAAAAAAAAAAAACAAAAACAAAACACCACCAAATGATAGCAGGGAGGTCTGGCCTTAAAGGATCCTGGCTCAACCTCAGTGAAAATAACTAGAAAGCAAATGAAATCAGAATAGCAGCTGCAGCCTATCTACCTGCTTGTCTTCTGGTACCAACATCTCCTAACAGCAGCAATTCACTCACCCAGACAGGGACAAAGAGAGCACACTACAGTTTGGACCCATCTAAATGCTAGCATTCATCTAGACGTCTTAATGAGGGGAGAAAAAAAAAAAAAAAAAAAAGTGAGCCGAAACCAAGACAACACCCATCTCATCACCCACGGGAGACAGCTCTCATCTCAGTGCTTGGAGTTACACAGAAATTTACTCTTCATTCACTGAGCAATGGTACCATTAGCCATGGGAGCCACCACAGAAATTGCCTTTTAGTAAGTCAAATCCCAACACAAGCTAACTAAACTCATCACAGCGGAACTCTTCCACCCTGGCAACCCTTCAAACTCACTAGCGTCTTCCTGGGCTTGTCTACACACACAAAACCAAGTTTTGAGGGAAAAACCAAACCTCTGCTAACCAGTGCTGAGGAGACGTCTCAAACACGGCGCCCAGTTTGGGGATCCCCAGCACACAAGAGCAGTATTAACATACTGGAGTGAGTCCAAGGGAGGCTACTAGATGTCTGAGAGGCTGAAGCAGAAAATTTACCAGGAGGGCTCTCCAACACTGGGCTGGGAGCCAGAGAGGTGGTACACTACCCATCAGGTCTTGAACAGGCAGGTCTAAGTGGGGTTCGGGCCGGAGACTTTCAAAAAGTCCATTCCTGCCTAAATTATGCTATGACTTTATGTAATATCACAGTAACATGCAATTAATTTCTGGGACACGTGCTGTAACAGAAGATAATACAGTGCTCAGTTTGGGATGAAGCAGATGTGTGCCCAACTGACCGCCCATCAGTGGGTTAAAGGGAACTTAAGCGTACGTTAGAAGCAGCTAATGTCTGTGTTTTGTTAGAAGTGTGAGAAAGGGCAAAGAATGAGCCTCTGTGGTACATGTGGCTATATTTAAAGCTCTTATCTACAAAGAGTTACCCTAACTGAGGATTAAGGCTATGGGAAGCTTGAACTTTTAATAAACACACATTTACATTACAACAGTTATTAAAACGAGTTGTGAAAATTCATAAACTTGGAGAAATCCCTGTACGAACAACTGCAATCTCTTTTGACAGCCCTTAAGAAACTAGGAAAGGTGGAATTTTACTGACTCTGATAAAATGTTAAGAAAGTGACTGAAACCAAAGCCTTTAAAAAAATGGTACTTAAAAAGTGATAAAATGAAGAACTTCAACAATCACACAGAGCAGGAGATACAGCAGCAGCCCTTCAAGAAACTAAAATCCACTCCTCAGAAATGAAAACATGCTTGGATGTGCCCTGATTCCCAATCCCACCTCCTGTCCCTCCCTCGATAAGCCTTGCTAGTGGAAAAACACAGACCATCTACAACTGTAAATCATGACATTTCTCAGTTCTTGGGAAGGGGAAAACAAAAAGCCAGCAGCATATCTTGCACTGGCTACATAGCTAAGTCAGTCAGTTCAGAAAGGGCAAGAGACTAATGTGGCCAGCATGGTTAAAGCATCCTCATTTCTTCTGCCATCAGGATGGTATCCAGCTGCTCATGACCTCCCTGTTGCTCCCCAGGACAATCAGATACCTTTAGTGAGCTGGACTGATTAGTACTGATTAGTACTCCCTTTGATGCAACTCCAGATTGAAGTTCCAGCTGCTGTGTCCGCTGCAAGACACGTGCTACCCAGTGGCCCCTTTTTGCTTCCAATTAGGAAACAGAAGAAGAAAAAAAAAAAAAAAAAAAAAAAAGAGAAAGTAGAAGGAGTAGAAGGACAACAAAAGCACTTCAGAGCTAATTTGAAAGGAAACCATGTAGGCAGACACAAAGTTCTTGCCCTACCAAACTGGTTTATTTCATTTTTAAGCCTGCTGTTACTGGAAAGAAATTGCAGATGCCCAAAGACAAGCAGAAGCCAAATAAGCAGATGTATTGTGGAAGCAGGGAGCAGGAATATTTGCTCTTGCAGCCATGTCATATTTTCCCTTTATTTTCCCCAGAGCATACAAGATAGCCCAGAAGCATGGCTCTCTGTCCTCAGAGCCAGACTGGCCATACTGACCACTCAGATGGCCAAGATGTTCCCCCCCAGCCCTGGACAGGCCATCATAGAAGAAACCTGGGAGAGGTCTGAATATGGGTGGGGATGCAAAGGGAAGAGCATGAGCTTATCTATCTCTCAACACAGGTTCAGCACGCTCACCAGGCATCTGGGAACCCTGGATTGCCAGATCTTTGCTCAGATGAACACTTTCTCCATCACGTATATCATTTATCTTAGAGCATCTGAAGACTTGAACTCATTGCATTAGACAACATGCAGTTGTTAGAGTCAGCCCTAGAGAGTTTTGCTGCTTTTATTAGCGCATAACTCAAGTGACAAACTGTCTCATGATACTGGTACAATCATTTTGTGATATGTTAGTTTGCTAACTACATATACTGGCCTCTGGTGTGGATATTTGAAGGTGATGCTGGAATAGCTAGACCAGTAACCATTGCCTTTTCTGTAGGGCACATCCCAGATGTAAATGTACTGGAAAAAGCGGTTCTTTCTGTGATAGTTGCACTACTTAAGTTAGTAAATGTTATTTCAGCAAGGGTCTAAATTACATCTACAGAAGAGATCCTAACTAGCTAGGAATGTTATTTTTCTACTTCTCCAAGAAATGTAGCTATGAAGATGTCTCCCCATGCAACTTTGGCCTGCAACTTAACACCATAAGACCTTCAAAAGTGACCACCACTGCTCCTTTACTGACAGTTACATAGGTGTAACTATTCCGACAGCTAAGCCTCAGGCATCATGTCTATAATGAAAGAAAGCACAAAAATAAATATATTTGGGGAAGGTGGCAATGGAGAATGAGAGTGGTAAACTTGATCTTAAAACTTAAAGCTAATCATTAAAAAAAAAAAAAAAAGAGACATTTCAGGTCCTTCTCTCCAGATGATCTCTCTGCACGTAGCTATGTATTTATGTCAAGAGCTTGTATCTTTTCCATCTCCCTTGACACCAGGTACTGCAACAGACTGGCCACTAAGTAACAAATAGGAATTAAATTGTTTCAGTGGGTTTAATACAGAATGTAAAATCTGAAAAGGTTTATGCCTTTGGGTTTAGTTTTGAGTGGTTTCCTGAAGATGGAATGGGTCACCTAATTCCAGACGCTCAAGCCCCTCTGCCTGGACTTGCTCTGTACAAAACACGTCAGGAGAGAACAAAGTGGAGGATACAAAAAAATGTGGTTGAAGCCAGCGACAGGGTGAAGCATGCACTCAGATCTTCTCCCAGCCCTGATCACATACTAACTCTATGCCTTATGTCCACCCACTGGAAGAGGCAGCTGATAGCACCTTTTCTACCCGTCTTAAAATATCAGGAGGTTAAGATGGCATGTGCACAGTGTTTAGAGACTCTCAGGTGGAACAGACAAACATGCAGTGCTACAGACCCTAAGTGGCAGCACATTCAGTGTGAATGTGTCATCTCCCTAGGGTTTACCACCTTAAAAAGCAGACACTGAAGTTTTCACAGCTCTGGTGCCTTGGGGACAAACCAAACCCACTCAATTTTTACCTCCTAAATAAGACACTTAGTTTATAAAGGTGCTTTCTTTCCGCTATGAAGGGATGTCTCACGTTTAAAATAAAAGTGTGAAACCACCGGGCCTTAAAAAAGTCATCTTCATGATGTCAATCTGATCGTCACCTGAGCCCAGGTCTCATCTTTACCACAGCATCACCAGTTGTTTGTAGGTGCTACAAGCTTTCACATGTGGCTACGATAAGATAGGATCCTTCATAAGGACAACTCTGAATGACTCATTTAGAAGTTTAATGCATTTCAAAGACATCTCAGAGGTAAACAGCAGAAGGCTGTCATCTCCCCACACTTGTTTAACTGTATGTTTGGTTGAAGGATACAACTAGTTTCTTCTAAGGCAGAATAAAGGCACACAAATACCAGTGAGCAAAGACTACTCAATTCCAGTGTATCTGTCTAGAACAGCACTGTTCACTTGCAAACATCTGGCAGCATGAAATAATCATTTTTCAAGTCAGGTGACCTAACACTGCACACTACCAGTGCTCACCAAGCGCACATGCACGCTGTTTCTTACGGAAACTAGAAGGGCCCTGGGAAATGGGTGTTCTGGAGTCAATTTAACCAAAGCTGTCAGAAGTTATTTAGCACCACAGGATTGCACAGAGAAGCCATAACTGTAAATGCCTGTAAACAACTGGAATTAAGAAACAGTTGTCAGAGGAGTAGAGGAGACTTTTCAGGAACAGAAAACCCAGCTGGAATTTCAGCTAAGGGACAAGAACCTCACCTGAAGCACCCGGGCCTTGACAAGCCTGCCTGCACCGCTTTTCAGTTGTAAGCTTGCTTATTCGCACTACGTGGACTCCTCTCCCTTTCAGGACAGAAAACCTGTGTTCGCATATACAGAAGGAAATCAGCAGGAAGAATACAATGGCAGTCCACATCTTCAGGGTTGGCCTTACAGGGAGGCTTCTCTTCCCAGGAGCAATTCTTTCTTATATCACTTCCAGATTCACTGCAATATATCTATTAAAAAAAAAAAAAAAAAAATTGTATCAAGAGAGTGTTCTACTAAATGCACTCCTATCATCAGGAATGGAAAATGTACAAAAGGCAGGCAAATATCATTACACACAACATACATGCAATGACGTAGAGGCAGGAAGAGAAAAGACCATCCCCAAACTTACAGAGAAGCTCTTTCTTTGGAAAGGGTACTTTGCTCTTCCTCCCGCAGACCCCAACAGAAAACAGCTCAAGTCAAAAGCCATGTGTACAAAGCCAAACTGAAAGCCCACAGGCGTACAGCAGCATAGACACGATGCCTTTTGATTCACTCTGGGACCCTTCGTGTTGTTACCAGGGTCAGCAGAAGGATTTGCACCAGCTTGAACACACTGATATATTGGGAACTATCGTCCTGGCCCTGCCTTTACACCAAGTCAGTCAAAACCAAACATCAATCTTTGTTGATTCCTGCTTTGATTTTCCTGCTCATTGCAAAAAGCTAAAAGAAACTTTGACAGAAAACAAGCAAAAGCCAATATTTCAGGTCTTCTATGACATTACACAAACACATCAGCTGTTACTGAGGAAGATTCATACTCACAGTAAGCCTTCATTTCCCCACATAAAACAATAAATAGGCAATGTCTTTTCCTCATTACCAGCACACACATGAGACTCTGTCCCAATGGATGGGCTCTCATCCTTAAAGTCACTGGAGCAGCTCTCTACTTCAGAGCAGATCGTCAGCTTCTACCTGGATTTACCCTCATTTCCAAGAATTTTTAAAGCTTTATATGAGGTTCAGCCTGAACCCGACCAATTGTCAGTCTCTTCCCTAATAATTTTTAAGGGCAACCCTCTTCCGCATCACTGAAGCAAGCTTTACTCCTCATCCTGCCATCATGAAGAGAAATGTCATGGCCTTTAGAGTGTCGAGATTCAACTTTGCATGACATCTCAGAGGTGTATGAGACAACTGAATTTGAAGACGCAAAGGCAGTTCACAACACAGAACGAGGAGCATGTGTGAATGGTGTAAATAATACAGCAAAAAAACACCCAACAGTCATCAGTTACATGTGTAAGACCGTGATTTAGCCATCCACGCAAGAAGTTCTGCCCTGAGCTCTTAAACTCACAAGCGTGGCTGGGACTGGAGTTAAGAATCTGAGTAAGAGCCTTTTTTTTTCCCTTGAAAGCCCAAGGTAACATTTATTAGCTTTGACTCCCAGACTGCATCATTTTGATGCTTCATATCATGAAAATTCTGTATCCAGATTTTCCTCCTTAGTCTATGTCCTAAAGCCCCAAACAGGGTACCAAAGTTTTAGCCTCAAAATCACCCTGCCTGAAAAAGGGTGAAATATAAACAGCTACCTCAAGCTTTGCTGAGGACATATAACATACAGGTCCACACTGGAGTTAAAGGGGACAAAACTTGGTAGTAAAATGCAGTGCCTCAAATTAAGCATCCCTAGTCACCCTACAAGTTCCCTACGGAACTCAAAGCCTCCTTCCTGTTCTTTTATTTATTCTAGTAAAAAGAAAATTTATTTTCTTTAAAATAAATTGAAAATAGATGGAGCATTTCTACATCTTCTGCTCTCCCAGCTCATGGACTTCCCTGCGGCTTTCTTCCTGGGGTAAGCGTGCACAGCATCACACTCATTTTGTGTGAGCAGGTTTCTCACTGGAGCCAAAAGTTCACACCTGGGTCATCCCACCTGGCAGCAGGAAGTATTTCTAAGTCTGCCCTGACAACAGCAGCCTTGGTGGGGAAAGGCAGCCCACCAGCCCCATCTAGTCCCGCGTACCGGAGACTGCGTCTGGTGTCCAGCCAGCACCAGCTTCCCAGAGGTCCCTCTCCCCTTTCGCACTCCACGTGCACAGCGCAGACTGACTTTGCTCTTTCCTTCTCATGGCTTTCTCTGCCAAGTGCACCTCTGGGGGAGCCGAAAGAATCAGCGCAGGAGAGGAGGTGCCCTGTGCGACGGATAACCGCAGCCCCCGCGGCACAGTACGCGGGAATTGGCTGCTCAGGAAAGCAGCCTCACGTTTTCGGCAGGGAGTTGGGAATACGAATTTGTGGCATTCAGTTAAGATAACTTCAGTACTTTTCTCACTGTCCTGAATTACAAAGCACTCCCACAAGTTTGCCTTAGCCTTTAGCACTCTCTTGCTGTCACTCCTGGCATATGCTGTAGTTTAATCATTGAAAACTCCAGTTGACAAGACTAGGAGAAAGCAAGTGAAGGTGTGAAATACTCTGCCCACAAAAGATTTTCCTAGAGCAGCAAGATCCTTATTGCTGACAGACAGCAAAAGTTTGCTTTAAACTCTAAATCCTTCAACTTAAAGCAAGTGATTGGGGTTCCCTCACAGATACTACAGGTCCCTCACCAAGAGACTCAGAGCACCGTTTGTCAACCGGTGCTCCCACCACACTATGCAGAAATAAGTGCACTTTTTGTGAAGTTCACAGGTCACAGGCAGAGATTCAGCAAGCAGTACCTGACCCACAGAAAAAAGAAAAAAATACATCATCATTAAGAATAAATTTTACATTTTAAAGAGAGTCCAACTTACGTTTGCTGTCCCTTTTCAAGGTAAAAGGCTTACAAGAAACAATATTTTATAGTTTAAGAAGTGACCCTGGGAATGAATTTGCTGTGCGATAATGTATGCATTTACTGTTTTAAAGAAGATAATAAAGAATAACAGCAATGAATACAAACACAGAGCACTCTTATTTTGTGTGTGGGGGGGGGGGGAGGGAGGGCAGGGGGTGTTCCCCTACCTTTACTGATACCTTTGTAATTATACTAACCAACCCTCAGAGAATAAACATCTTCCACTGCATTTTGGAAATGCAGATATAGCAGCATTTTATCTAAGCATAAATACTATAATAATTCTTACAGTTAAAAATCTCAGTATTTTAGGACAAATAAAATAATCTTAATCTCTACTGATCCAAGAAGTACATGTATTTGTAAGATCAAGTGTTGATCCCAGTGTCTAGAAGCTGTTGCTTTAACACAGCCATCTGTCCCCTATGCACGGAGATGCTTTGTATCTCCAACCACATTAACCCACCAGAAATCCTTCCCACCATGGCTGACTTTGGTCCCACTTGACTGCAACAGCTCCAGAGGTAAGCATAATCCCAGTAAATGCCTCTCACCTCTTCCAAAGCACCTGGCAGCCTTTCTGGACTAGGCCAGTGATGGTTAAGGGGGACACATCGAGCTCCGACTCTAGAGGTTTGCCTCCCCTTTCCCTCTAACTAAACATGGTCTCCTCAGAGGCCAACTGACAATCCCTCCCCCAGGGTGCTCAATACAAATTTACAAGCTTAAAATAATTGTAAATGTTCTTTACCCAGTTATAAAAAATCCCTTTGCAAATTGCAGAGTGAGTGTGTGAAGTAGACAAACACAATACAGAGACTGTAAGTACATCAGACAAGCAAACAGCTCACTCCCAAGTCCAGCGAGGGGATAACCAGAGGCAGTCATACCTTAATGCTGTCCAGATGATGCCTAGGATGCTCTATTAAATATTCAGAACCTCTAGCTCAGGGCTGGGTTTTTTTTGGCCTCTTCCACCCTAGAAAAATCCCATACATCCAGAACAAGAGTCACAAATGACTTGCAGATCACTTTTCCTGACTTAACAACTGCCTTTTATAAGTACAAGCAATAGGCTTTATTTCTGCCTTCCCATCACAATTTTAGCCAGTACCACATGGCTCCATTTGTACTCAGAAACCCCACTGAGCACCCATCCCATACCTCTACATCCCAGAAAAGCACCAGCTAAAGCTGCTTTTCCAGATCATGTTGCTCCCCAGAAAAAACTTCATGTCTCTGGCTGTAGGAGACAACATGAAGGAAGAGATGAACGCTACTGTTCCCATCAGAAGTAACTTTGAGAAATCAGGGCAAAATTCACTCTTTGAATGCTACCTTCTCCATCTGCAGAGCAACCCCAAGGAAATTAAAAGTCAAACCAAATCACAAAAGAGCAACAAATAAAATCTGGGAAAGGACTCTACTCTGATAAGTGCCAAGTTTACTTTTACCATCTGTGGCTATAACTCAGCAGGGAACAAGCACACTGGAAAACCAGAATAACTTTGAGTAAACTACTGAATGACTGATGACTTTGCAATGTACACACACATCCAGAGACCATTGCCTCCTGAGTTTCAGAAGTGTTCCTGCCTTCTTGCTGATCTTCCTGTGCTCGAGCCAAGGAATTTGTGCAAGAAAAAAATTCAAGGTATTAATTCAAACAACGTTGATTGGGGTGATGTTGTAAGTGCAGAGTGAAGCCTTTGGAATATAACCCCTTGCCTACAAGCCCTTCCAGCCAGCCTCAGTTGCTCCTGGTAAAGCAGTTGCAAGGTACATGCAGTGACTGCACCAAGGCGAAATGAGAAACATAGAACTAGACAAAAAAAAACATAGAAAGAGTGAGTGTGTGTGTGTGTTTTAGAGATGATAGGTATAAAGTGAGCAAAGCAAATCATTTAGGGCAACACATATTCCTTCGAGCTGTCATTGAAGAGCCAGCAGGCACTGCCCCAAAATCCATACTTACTAGGATTGCATGTACTAGACATGAAATAAGGTCAAAGAGCTGCAAAGAAATCTATCCTCAAGATAACAACAAAGCAGGGAAAACAAGTGTGGAATACCTTTTGCAGACAACGATGTTACTCTCCCATCAAACTGAGATGATGAAAGGCCTGGTTTCAACTTGCAATTGCTGCTAAACACTTCATGTGTTGTCAGCTCTCAAAACAAGTGTTATATTTCACTCTTTAGAAAAACAGAATTAAACCAGATTTTTCTAAGGGAAGACAAGCACATCTCATTTTCTGTATTGAGGCTATAACACAGGAGGCAGGGAATCTGTGCTGCAATCTTGAGAAGCATTTGGCTTCCCAAGCTTATCTCCAAGGCTGAAGTTGCACACATGGATAGGTTTGGAGACAGAAGGGGCAGCACCAA